ATCTGTGCCTGACAACACCATTGGTGGCTTATTTGATGATATCGTTGATCCACCCATTAGATATGGATTCATAGTCATTTGTAGTGATTCTGCGGCATTTGGATTTTGAGAAAAGTTTGTAAGTTGGTTTTTTGTTATTTTATGTTGTTATGCTATATGTTGTAGTGGAATTTCGTTATGCACTTGAGTTGGTTGATAAGATTGTGAATTGATTGGATTTTGTGTTTGAAAAATATTATTTTGGAATGCTGGAATTGTTATAGGTTGTCGTAATTGTTCATCTCGGGTATATGGTTCAAAAATATTTGGTTGATCTATGCTGTATGAACGAGGTCTTTGGCTTGGATAAAATTGTTGAAAATTTTGATTATAATAATCTTCATCATTTGATGGAAAACGGTTAGCTGTATGGTAAGGAGGTAGGTATCGATTTTTATTATTTTTGTTTTGTTGAAGAAATGGATAATTTTAACTTTGATCTTGTGAAGTTTGTGGATAATCATTAGAATTTACTGAGTTTGATGATGGTTGTTGTATATTTTGACTTTGTGGGTATAAGTAGTTTTAGGTATTTCTACTAGAAGGTTTAGTTGCTTTTGGTCTATTTACATAGTTAGAATATGTTCTGTAAAATTATTTCTATGTGATGTTCTTTGTTTTTGTGATGGTTTTATCAGTGGTCTAAATGTTTGGTAATCCATATGAGAGTATTTTGGAGCAACGGAGGGTTTCTCTGTAGATTGTTTTGTTACCTTTGGTAATACTGGATTTTTTGGTTTTGGAGTTGCCAGATTTGGGTGAATAGGTGAGATAATTTGTTGCGCTGTAGTGGTTATTGTTTCAACTATTTCTTCAGTTACGAAATGTGATGGGGTTTGAATATCTTGTTCTGTAAAATTTCTAGTTCCGTTTAAGTTGTCTTGTTGTAAGAAAAGGGAATTTAAACTATTGTCTCCTGCTCTATCGGGAAATAATGAATTGTAGTTTAAAGGTGTTGCGTCAACTGTAAGTGGATATACTTTAATATAATCTTTGTAAATAAAAATTGTCCTAATTGCTTGGCTTGGTATATCTGTAGGTATATTAATAAATGATGTATGGGACCATTAATGGTCCCAAACATAATCTGTTTACTCTGCTAAAACAGTATCGTCATCTGTATTTTGTGGTCTAAAGTCTTTTCTTGCTAGTGAAAAGAGGTCAATATTATGAGCAAAATAATCAATTATGAACCATGTTAAGATTTTTTGTAAATCGTGTTTAACATGTTGTGTGTTGTCATTACTTGTTAGATTTTTGCGCATTGCGTTAAAAAATTGAGAAAACATTCCAATTTCGTGTCTTATTGTTGTATATCGAGATGTTTGAACTGGTAAATCTCCTTGAGATTCAGTTGTTTCTAATATAGATAAATAGCTATAAATAAGTGAAAATACATCGTTGGTGAATATTGAATTTGCTCTTTGTGAGTTTTGATGTTGTATATTTTTTATTTATTCTGTGAAAACTTCTGTGATTTTTTCTGAGAAAATTCAATATCTACGTCATCTGTTTGAATTAGATATCTGTCATGAAGTGCATTTGGTGAACTGATTTCTCTTGTATATATTCCGTTTTGTTGTGTAAGGTTGCAAGTTCTTTTTAGATAGTGGCCAAGGAGTTGTTTTTTGATTTTTACTTCGGGAAATTCCTTTGTACATGGACTATCTGCTTTTTCAAATAAATTTGCGATTAAATTCTGAAAAAATTGTACTTCTCCTCTAGCTTCAGCTAGTGGGTCTATTAAAATGGGAGAATGGAATTTTCTTTGCGGTTTTCTTCATTTCGAATCATTTTTGTGTTTTATAACTGTTATTTTCAATGTATTTTTTTTTGAAATTTTCAATGTTTTTTATTGGTTGATTCCAATTGTATAGACGTATTGGTTTGTGTTTGCTTTTTTATGACTTTTTAATTCTTCGTTTTCCTTTTATTGATGATGGTGATATGGTTTCTGAGTCAGAAAAATATAGTTGATCGTCAGATTGATGGTTTTTTTAATTGAGTCTTTTAAATCGTGGAGTTCCTGTATTGCGCTTGTTCCTGATTCTGAGACTGCGTTTCTTTGTTGTGAAAGTCGTTTTCGAATAAATTGTTTTCCTTTGCTTATAATTTTCTTCCTAAGTGTTTGTCGTTTTTTTCTTATGTATCTAATTGTTTGTCTGTGTGGTGTGATAACAAGGTCGTTTCGTCATTAATTATACAGTTGTGTAATATATTGTTTGTTTATTTCCTAAAATGTCTCTTGACATAAGGTTTAGGATGATGGATACAAGATTGGGATTAGTAATTTCTAATGTCTTAAACTGTTAGTTCTTACGATTTTTTGTGGTTAGCTTAACTTGGGTCATGTATTATAGGGTTAGAGAGAAGAGCATATATGGATTCTTGAGAATTATTTTAACTTTCTCGTGGCTAATTCTAAGTTAAGATAGACTTACCTAATCTTACTTAGCGGTAGTCATTTGTGATCAAGTGTTGGAGAATAGTAAATTGATCCACAAGGTTCAGGTATAATTAGAACACAAGTAGTTTGTTAGATAGTATTTTAGGAAGGACTTACTAAGCTTAAATGCTATCTTGGGTCAGTTAAGAGGTGGAGGTCAAGTGAAGGATGAGTAACAGAAGTTCTTCACTGTTTATCTTAATTAGAATGGTTAATTTTTGAAAAATTTCTGAGAATTCTGGGTCTTTAATAAGGGTTGGGTAGTGAATCGACCTTTGGGGTCGTTAGACACTAATTAATTTGGGAGCGGGAGAACAAAATTATTCTATTAGACCCAAGGATAAGCCTTGATGGTCAGAATATTTAGGTAAAATTAGTTTAATTTAAGATCCAAGGGAAGCCTTGATGATCAGTTTTTTAAATGAAACTAATTTAAGTGAAAACAAGGAAAGGCCTTGATAATTTTTTAATAAACGATTAAGTGAAAGAAAAAGGTTAAAGTTTAGTTTTGATGATGTTAGTGTTTTTGAGATTTGCTGCTATGCTTTAGGTGATGAAGCTGGGATGAAATAATGATATATATATTGACAATTTATGCTTTATACTAACTAATTTTTGTATTTTCTTACTTGAAAAATATTTCTTCCAAGATGTTTTGAACTTACTGCAGATTTTTGGAGAGAACGAGTAGGGTTGTTTTTATCGGTCGTTTTTGTACAATTATTAGGTTGAGTATCATTAAATATTGTTGAAGATTTTTCTTCAAAATTCTATGTCAGTAAAGGAAAGTTTAAATTTACTGCTAATATGATTCTAAATATAAAATTTTGAGTCGGCTTTTGCCGTACGAGCATGAAATCTATTGGTAGCTTTCTTCCTAATCGTATGTCGTCTCTTGTCCGAGGTCTTCTTTCAATACCGGGTAGTTCTCGTATTGTTCGGAATTTTGGCTCTGATCTATTGAGTCGTGGAGACATTTCTACTAAACTTTTGTCATATAACATTTTTTTTAAATGTTGTATTTGTCTAATTCTAATCTAATGTTTTGGTTAATGTTTCTAATCTATGTTGGTTAAGGTCTTGTTCGAGACTTTTGGTCGCACCAGATGAGTTATGACCTATTGGTTATACTCAAAGAGTAATTTCAGATAAGGTACACCGTCTGCTTGTCACGCTATCTTATTTTCGGCCGGATAGATTCGTGCAACTTCTTATTCTAATACCAATCTTAATCATACTCTTATATCTCCTAGTCTCAATAGATCTAGAGTATACTGGTTTGATACGAGTCGGTCCCTTTGGAGAAGGCAACTAAGTTCTAAGTTAAAATCAAATCTCTCTGGTGCTGAAATTACAAGTAAATTTCAGCACTTACAAATAAGTGGGTTGTTAGTTCGATGGAGTATGACTGATTAGTATTCAGTATTTTATAGAGGTAAAATATCAGAATAATATCCAATAATAAATTCTAGTTTAGATCTGGTTTCAGGAATATCTAATCAACTTTTCCTTAACTTTTTGTCTTATCTTAACTTAATTCGAGAAAAACATGTTTAAACTTTCAAATTTTGGTTCGTCTTTTTTCGGATTACTTAAATAAGCACTGTATATCTCCGAATTTAAAAACGTTGTCCATTTACTTTGTTAAAAGCTACTTTAAAAATGGACCTCTCTGAAAAAAGCGCAACCATTTTTTCATATCTTTTTTGACGGATCCATGCAGTCTTGAGAAATCGGTTGCATTTTTTACCTCCTCCATTGTCTCAAGCAGGGGCGGATCTAGGATTTTCCCGAGGGGGGGGGGCGGATTTTCAAAAAGTTTTCAAAAATTTAAACGAACTTTTTTTTAGGTCGACCAAATTGATTTTTCGAGTTCCGAGCTCTTTTAAAACACTAAAAAGACTCTGTTTGGGCTGAAAAAAAAACAAGTCAAAAAGTCGTTTTTGGGCACTCTTTGAAAAATTTTGACAAAAAATTGCGTTTTTTGGCGCGCGCTCCCCCTCAAAAAATAGTATATATGGGCACCTTAGGCCTCTCAAAGTTAGTATATATTGGCGCCGAAGGCGCCTTTAGAAAAATTTTAGGGTCGGTCGGCCCTAAACGGATTTCTTTGAAAGTACCAAAGGGGGGAACCTTTGGGTCGGCAGGGGGTCGAATCCCTGAGAGGGAGAAAGCGTCCGCGGACCCCCCCCCCCCCCGCACCCTCTAAATCCGCTCCTGGTCTCAAGATCAAAATTCTTCTCCGGGATTTTAAACCTTTGCTTTTTTTATTGGACCAGTTTCATCCAAAACCAAAAAAAAGCCCGATTTCTCTTTATCGGCAAAAAAGCTTCCGAGCCTGAATAAAACGTTATCTACTTAATGAGAAACTGTAGAATTTGAAGGAACACACTGTTTGAAGATGAACGCTGAATCGAAGTAATATAAGTAGAAAAAATCCTCCGTCCTCAAGTGCCCAATTCTCAAATTAAAAAAAGAGAAGTAAATGATAGTAGTTTGTTTGATTATATGTAACCTCGAACATGACTGTGCATAGGATTGAAGTGGAGGCGGCATATGCATCGAACAGCTGCACCAGGTATGCTCCCCCGTACGTGGTGTTAGTCAGACCCACCAAGAAGGCCACACCCACTATCAACAGCGTGAACAACTCCCGGTGCTTGCGCAGAGTAGTTTTGAAGTCATCGGAGATACCTGCAGATTGGCAAAGGTAGGAAAAGTACTTCAGAAGAAATGAAGAATAGCTCTTACAATTTTCGAAATAATATAGTTTTTGATTCATGACAACTTCGGATGGTGACATATCTGAATTTGGCTAAGAACCTGCAATCATCCTTCATTGATTCCTGTGCAACCAAACCAAAATAGTTCAAAGTTACCAGCGAGGTTTACCTGCAGAGCAAAGATGGATAAAACTATGAACTCAAAAATTTCTCATCAAAAGTATGAACAATCAGCTAACAAAAACTGTCAGATTTATTATTAAATTGCACTATTATCTGAGAAAATTGACTGCTATGAAGCCCTGGTTACTCGCTGTCGAAACATTTTTTCATTAGCTTAAAACACTAAGAAGGATAGAAGGTTAGTTAATTAATGATTCATAAAAAGAAAACGAGGATTCCCGGGTTGATCAAAACTTCTTATCATACAATTTCCAGATATGAAAAATTTCTTACCGTACAATTCCACGCAATTCCATACGTAAAGAAAATTGTATTAAATCTCTATGATATGCATTTTTTGCATATACGAAAATTTTATGACAAGCATTTTTCCGTAAACCAAAAATTTGATTTTTTTCAACTTTCATTACGAGGCCAAACTTTGCTTTTTGGGAAATTAAGCAGATTCCGCAAAAAGAATGCTCCCTTTGTTATTTTTTTATTTACTTTCTTAGAGTGTTCCGAGACAATTTTAACATGTTAGAAGACATGTCTCTGGAATCCTGTAAAATACAGACACAAAACTGTGAGCCTACCCAGTCCACAGTTTGGCCTCGTAATGTTAATTTCTGAACATTTTTGGGCTGTGTTTGTAACCAAACGCAAGTGACGAAGAACTTGGCTTACACAGAGCGACAAAGTTTTGACGGTCTCGCATTTATAATGCATATAATAACACCGGAATTGTCTTAGAGCTGTGTTTCACAAATGATATAACGAAAGTAACAAACTTTCAATTTTTGACAAAAGTTTTCAACGTTGATTATTTTGAAAATTTGATTTTTGAAATTATCAGTTATCAATCAAGCAATATATAAGCATGCCAATCTTAAGAAAAAGTAGTTTGGGACTTAAAGTAGTTGAAAAAAGACATTAGAAGAAAAGGAAAAAACCAACACTAGTGTATCCAGGACTACGTTATGCGCACAAAAAATTTAAGTTTTGAAAGCAAAATTTTTTTTTGTGAAAAACGTTAGTTTGAGTACAAATTTCAATTTAAGGTTGAAAAAAAATTGGGTTAACTTCAAAATTTATGTGTCGCCATCAAAAACAAATGTTAGTCATACAATTTCCATATCTGGGAATTGTATGATAAGCATTTTTCAAAACACAAAAAACCTCGGTTTTTTCATCACAAGGCTGTTTTTATTAGAATCAAACAGCCGCAGAAATTAGTTTCTATCTTTTTTCAACCATTTTTGCGAAATTGTACGAAAATTGTTCGACAAACATTTTTCCATATTCTTGATGTATGGAATTGCATGATAAGCATTTTCGGTGTATGGAGGTTAACTCGGGTTGTCTACGTGAACTTTTTTAGCGTTCTGTTTTTTTTGCGGAGTTGACTTGATCGCTACCCCCAAACATGCTTACAATTCATGTTTGGACCAAAGGTGCAAGCCATCCTGTTGGTGGTCCTATATACGGTTCGCACCTAAAGTGATTTTCAAGTTGCATCTTCAAAAGTAAGTTACTGGGTTAATTTGCTATTTCCATCTGTCCTACAGCATCCTAGTGAAAAAAAAGATCTGAAAATTGAACTTATTTGCTGATATCGACGGTCACGGCCTTATCGCGTTTATATTTACTGCAACTTTTCGGACCTTGGCGCGATTCAAGTCGCTTTTTAGCGCAACTCAAAAACCTCGGCGCAACGTAACTCGCGGGCCTCTACTCCCGGTTAATGATTCCCAGCTAAAACACATTTCCACTTGAACGAATGCGTCAACCATTAACTTGAAACACAAGGGCAAAAACTAAATCGAATGGGGAGCACCTGTGATGACGGATTCAAGTCCCCCCATTGAACTGTCCAAGCCCAGAGTGAGTAGCATGAGGAAGAACACTATGGCCCACACATTGGGGTATGGCAGGGCACTTATGGCCTCCGGGTAGACGACGAACACGAGACCATGGCCCTCAGTGGCTACCTCCTCTATCGGCACGTTGTTTTTGAAAGACATGTAGCCGAGGATGGAGAAGACGACGAATCCGGAGAGGAAGCTGGTGAGACAGTTGATGGTGGAGGTGCAGAGGGCGTCTATGTAGCAGTTGTTGTGGAAGTTGTTGTAGCTCGAGAACGCAATCAGAACTCCGAACCCCACTCCCAGCGAGAAGAAGATCTACACGCAATACAAAGCATACTCCCAATTGTCACAACAAGTGCTCGAATTGAGTTTATACAGTTAACACGTATCAACGGGGTTTATGCTTATCAGATAGTTAACACTTCCCTATCAATATTCCCTACCAAAAAATAATGTCCGTTTCAAAACGCAAAATACCTTAACAAATAAAAAAGCGAAAAAGTATTGGGAAATTACCTACGATACCACCAGTTATAATTTTGAATGAGCTTTGCATAACGAAGAGAGTATAAATGACCTGAATGGCAGCGTCAATCCAAACACCCGGTTCTGACAACTTGGACAGGTCTGGCTGCAGATAATACTTGATACCAGTGGCTGCCCCTGGCAGAGTGATGCCCCTGACGAGAAGGATAAACAGCATGATGTAGGGTAAGGTGGCGGTGATCCATACTATCTTGCCAGACATCTTGATTCCTGTGCAACCAAACCAAAATAGCTCAAAGTTACCAGCGAGGTCTAGAGTATGTATTCATAAATGCAGGGCAAAGATAGACAAAGAATGGAACTCTAAAATTTCTCATCAAAAGTATGTATATTCAGTGAATAAAACTGTAATAAATTGAAATACTAATAAACGGAGATACTAATAAATTGCACCATTATCTTAGAAAATCGACTGCTTTGAAACCCTGGTTACTCGCTGTCGAACCATATTTTCATTAACTTAAAAAAGTTTTCTCAAAAACGATTCTATTTTAAGAAAAAAAAACTTTTTTTTGTTTTGTTTTTGGACAGCCAACTTAGTCTAAAAAAACAAAAAAAATTTTTTTTCTCAAAACAGAATGTTTTTTTTCTAAATGATGTGACAAAAAACGATCTGAAAAAAAATTAATTTTTAAATGTTGCACAGTCATTGTAAAATAGGAAATTGACATCACTTTTTATAGAAAAATGACGAAGAAAATAAATGAAAAAAATAAAACAAAAATCAAAAAAATTCAAAAATATAGGCTCGCTCAAAATTAGACAAAAAATGTTGGGAATTTTTTAATGTGGTTCGAATAACGACTGTAAGGGCTTTAATATGATATATCACTCAACCCAGTCCGATGATTATTTCTGCTACCTGATTTTGCGTGGAAAACAAAAAAAACACACTGAAATACACCCAAATACAAAGTTCCTCCTCATTTTTAATGGTCCGAACATCAGGGATAGCCGGTTACTGTGCAAGTAGGAGATAATAATCCAACCATAGTTTTTAGAAAACTACAAGAAAAACGTTTTTTTTTTAAAATTGGTGTAGTTTTTTCGGCGTGGTGTGATAAAAGAATCTGACAAAAACTATAGTTTAGGCATACTCGACAGTCAAAATAATATAAGCAATCAGGGCAACAGATTTTGAAGAAAAATGGATAGAACAACAAAACAAAAAAACGTTTAAAAAAGTTTTAAAGTTCATAAATTTTAAAATAGCCTCAAAAATCTCCAAAAACAACACTACTCGAGTAAAATTAAATATCGCATTTATATCGTAAACCGCCTAAATTAAGCATAATTAAGCGTGCTCGCTCGCGTTACCCGCTCTGGTTGGGACAAAAATAAACAAAAACCTCGAACCGGTTTTTCTTGACTCTGAGAAAACGTTTTCAAACCGGTTTTTCTGGACACTGTGAAAGGTTTTCAAATCCAGTCCAATGATTATTTGTGGTAGCTGATTTTGCGTGGAAAACAAAAAGAAAAAACTAAAATACACCCGAATACAAAGTTCCTCTCATTTTCCAAATGGGCGGAACAAGAATGGCCCCAAAACAAAGCATTACAATCCAATGGACGGTGAAATAAGTCACTGATGATGATGATGATGATGAACACTAGCTGGCTACTTTGTACTTCAAAGACAGATTGACAACTACCTGAGTAAATTAAAGGAGTGAGTAATATAGAGATTGACTAACCCTTCCAGAGAGAGAAGTAGAGGAGTGTGAAAATGGCGAACAGACAGAGAGTGAGTTCCCACTGCACTCCCCCCATGTCGTGCAGACCCTCACTCTTGTGCAGCCCCAATACCCTCCGCTTGTAGTACTCCTCCGCTGGAGACACCATCCCTCCTCTTCCACCCCCACCCTCACCAACAACAGAAGAGTTTCCACCTTCAGTGTCTGAAATCATCGCAGTGATTTCGCTTCAATTGTTCAAAAAACTGTTCTTAGACAAGAAAACATATGAAAACGAATGCGTTTCTGGTATGGGGCACAACAAGGTTCTTCCAAATAGCTGAAAAGGTCTTTGGCAGCTCCCTTCAGAAACGAAACAGCTGCAGATGCCGTCAAATAGAGCGTAAAATAATCAACTGCAGCTTAAATTGAAAGCGTCTATCGTGGCGCACACCAGGGGCCGATCTAGGATTTACTCGAGGTGGGCGGGGTTCGGGGGGCTGCGGATTTTCAAAAAAAAATCGAAAATTTTGTCGACCTTTTTTTAGGTCGACCAATTTGATTTTCCGAGCTCTCCCAAAGTACTAAAAAGACCCTCAATATTCTGGGCCGCAGTCAAACTTATAAACAAAAAATAGGCCAAAAAAGCGTTCTTAGGCCATTTTTGGGAAATTTTTTCAGCCAAAAAGGATATCTTAAAATAGTTCAAAGGGAGGACCCTTTGGGTAGGCAGGGGGTCGGATCCCCGAGGGGAGGGGGGCGTTCAACTCCCCGCCCCGATCCCTAAATCCACCCCTGGCGCACAGTATGCTTCAAAAACTTCAGCACCTAAAAATCAACTTTTTTTCTTTGATGATGACAAAACTAGACGTGCAAATGCTGTGGTGTTTTCTTGTTTAACTTCTAAGTGTTCGCCTCTTTTCTGACAACTGACCATTGAGTTTACTAGATCCGACAGTGCATAGCTCAGTGTTCCAGAAGAAGTCGCAGGAGCCCCAGGGCAGTTGGGTGCGGAAGGAATTGAGCAGGTAGTAGAGTGCCCACGCGATGATCACATTGTAGTAGAAGGCCACGTAGAACGCTATTATACAAGCCGAGTAGCCCACACCCTAGCACATACACAAACCACACGTGCTCACTGCTATATCACTAGTTGTATATGCTAATACACGTGCTGCTTCAATGCTTTTACCATATAAATCCGAAACCCCTTTTATCTACATCATCTACCAGCCATTTACTCATATACTGTGTTTTTTTACACTGTGGAAAAAATGTGTTTATGTGTTTTTTTTTGGAAAATCCAGGGCTCATTTTTGAACAAGTATGGTTTTTTCTATTCCTAGCGCAACTCTGGGTTTCATATGAACAACTATGAACAATATAAATTTTGTGGGGTAACTTGTAAAAATGGATTGCTTACCTTTAGGAGAGGACAGATTTTCCAGACCGAGATAGGTCCCTCCCTCTGATACTGGCCAAGAGCCAGTTCCATGTAAAACAGAGGAATGCCCCCAAAAATGAGCATGAGAAAATAGGGAATGAGGAACACCCCTCCCCCATTCTTGTAGCACAGGTAGGGGAAGCGCCACAGATTCGCTGACACAACATAAACATAAGCTATCTTTATGCATTTAGTTGATTTTTTTCATCAATTTCCAGTTGATCGTGCTTAACATACAACTAGGTTTACCTGGAAAATATCTTGAACATCTTTAAAAAGACATGTACAGTGGTGCAGTTTTTCATTGTGGATACATCAAACATCTCGCTAAAACTAAGCAAACTTGCTTTATCTAATTTGTTGCATAAGCTGAGCCAGCTCGACTGGCATTTAGTTTTCCGGCATTTTTAAAATTTGATATAAGAATATCTTAGACAACCAAGAATAGTTTTTTGTCATCGTTGATGAAATCCCAAATTTTCAAAATATCGCTTCTTAACTACTGAGTAATCGAAGCTAAGTAAAAATCACAAGAGAATGAGGAAGCACCTATTTGAGTTATAACCTAGTAGCTAGAGTAATTTCAGATAAGGTATACCATCTGTTCGTCACGCTATCTTATTTTCGGCCGGATAGATTCGTGCAACTTCTTAATGTAATTCCAATCTTAATCTTACTCTTATATCTCCTAGTCTCAATAGATCTAGTGTATACTGGTTTATACGAGTCGGTCTCTTTGGAGAAGGCAACTATATTCTAAGTTAAATTCGAATCTCTCTGGTGCTGAAACTACAAGTAGTTTCAGCACTTACAAATAAGTGGGTTGTTAGTTTGATGGAGTATGATTGGTTAGTATTCAATATTTTATAGAGATAAAATATCAAAATAATATCCAATAATAAAGTCTAATTTAGATCTGGTTCCACATATCCGGGGTTTACAGAGTTTTAGTTCTTCAGGGTTTTAATGTATTGAAGGATGGATGATGGTGTTCTTTTTTTTTTAAAGTTGCGAGCATATTCATTTTTTCCGATTATGAAGAAGGATTGCTTATCCGTTGCTCCAGGAAGCTGGAATCATCGATATGAACGTTTTCTTAGACGGTGGCTGTTGATCTCGGTTGGGTTTGGGAGATCGTACCAAGATTGTTGATTAGTTGTGATTGAGTGCTGGTTTTGTTGAGTATAGAGCAACAGTGCTCCAAACTTGTTCGGATTGTGGCGTGAAGCTTGATGTTTGGGTGAAGTGCCTGGTGACTTGGATCTGAACGTATACTTGAACATCGAGATAGCCATTGTTCGGTTTCAATGGGTTTCCTTTGCTGCGATGCCAAGTCGTACTTTAAATCCTTTGAGTGTGGTGACTGTAGGCAGCATATCGGGTGTATTTTGCCATTCCGTAGTTGGAGTGTGATTGGGTTGTCAAGTTCCTTGCTGCTCGTCTTTGAGCTGCATGTAATCTATATAATGAATTGTGTTATTAACATATACAAATCTTTAATAATTTTGTTTTTAGTTATGATCTTGTATAAATTTTTATCGCAAAAGTGATTTTGTTTAGTTGGTTTATTTTTAAGAGCTACTCACTCTTGAGTAACTCTGGTCTAAAATAAGAGTGTGGTCACAAAGCGTGGGTGTAGCACCTTGGGTTAGGCCGGCTATAGAGCACGCTCAGGACGTCCTCTCTGGTGGGTTAGGCCAGGAGTGGAGTATAATTTCATGCTCTCTTTTCTGGAGGGTCCTTTTTGTGTTCAACATTTTGTGCCTTTTTTGTTTTGGTTGTGTCCTTTTCTCAAAAATCTAATCGTTTGGTCTGGGTTTGTCTTTCGACCTTTTCGTGTTTTATTCATTCATGTTCAGACTTGAAAATAGTCTTCAAAAGAATAAATTATCCAATCCTAAACTGGTTTTAATCCGGTTTGAGTACCGTGGGTTTTCTTTTCTTAGTCATGCTGTTAAGTTGTGGTTTGTGGTGTTTAATAAGCTGCGTTGGTTAGTTTGGATTATTATATAATTCCTTTCCAACTGGGTTAAAGGAAATTTTGAAATGTGTTAAAACTGGCTAGAAATGTTATCAGTAAAAGTTAAAACTTAAATTCATTGTTTTGAACAATTCTTCGTGGGCGAGCTGTGCGTTGTGGATAGGATTGTGGGCGAGTGAAGATTTTAAGATTATAAAGAAGCGTCTTTGAAAATGTTAGTACTGCTTTAAATTTAGAGGCAACTTTTATTATTTTACTATTTTGAAATTATTAATTTTTGGGGGTTGGAGTTATCAATTTTTTTCATTTTAAGAATATTTACTGCATATGGGAAAAGAATTTATATATCAATTCATTGCTGTTTGGGGGGGGCGGGGGGGGGGGGGTAAATGTTACTGCTTCATTTATTGCAATTGGTTAATATAAATTGATCATTATAGAAATAAGTTTCCTGTTTTTTTTTAGTAAAGATGATTAATGATCGTGCTTGTGAAGACTAGGGAAAGAGAAAACATCAAGAATGGTTAGTTTTTGTTCAAATATGTTAGTATAATTAGTTTAATTCAGATTACCTTATTCGTCGGGGAAGAATCCATGGGGAAAAATGTGGTAGATGGTTTCTAATGATGTTAGTAGTTTTGCTATCAAGCGAATGATGTATTTAGTTTGGAGAAGTGGCCAAAGCTATTCGAGTACTTTGATGATTTTGTGCTCTTCAGTGATAGGTGAGAATTCTTATGGTGTATTTTGGATGAGGTTTTAAAGTTTGTGATTATATCTGGTTTTATGCATGAGTTCTAGGATCGAGATTTCAACGGGCTGTAGGAATTCGTGAGGGACGATTAGTGGGAGGGATTTGGATACGTTGAAGGTTTTGGTTAAGGGACAGAATAAATACATCTGGCAGATGGGATCATAATTTCGGAGGATGCCTTGTAGGTTAGTATCTTTAATACAATAAGTGAACTTAAGAAAGAATGGTGAGGTATATTTTGAGTTAATGTATTGATATCTGTGGTTAAATTGTCCAGCTGGTGTTTTTTGAGTGTAATGATGTTTAATAAATTTATAAAAAGTTTAAGTGTGTGTCTGTTTAATTCGTAACATGATGTCGTGTGAACAGTGCAAATCACGTTCTCTGGGTGTGAGGAAATGACAGGTGAGTGAGTAGTGGTTAAACTTGTTAAAATACGAATCACAAGCTTGAATATCACGGAGTGCTGCTGATATGACATGATCGTATTTTTATTTAAAGTATTCAGAGTGAAAACTTATGGTGTTTTAATGAAGAATTTTGTGGGTTAGTAAATTTACTGTTGTTGAAAAAGATGTCTTCGTTTGGTCTAATGATGCGATGATCGTAGTGATCGATGGAATATTCATTAGCTTTAGGTGCGGTGAATTTGATAAGTGATTTTTTATATCCGATTTGTGTAAATTGTTTCGGAGTGAGTGCTGTTGTCAAATCGTAGAGTGATTGCTGCATTGTTCGTTATCATATGGAGTGATATATAATGGCAGTGACAGTGAATTAGTGAAGTGATAAAATGATGTCCATGATAGTGTTGCGTATAAAACGTGCTCATTAACATAAATAGGGTGTTTGTCATTAGGGTCTGAGTGAAAGTAGGTGTATTGGGGGAAAAGGGTAAACATACTTGGAGGAATTCTTTAGTGTTAGTGTGGAGTGGGTGATTGACATATGTTTGGGCTGTTCCTGGGTTAGAGGGAAATGGAGTATTGGGGAATTTCCTTTGAAGGTTCGGTAGGCTCGACTTGTACTGGATGAGGATGGATTTGACGAGAAAGTGGGGTATGGTGAAGGGGGGTAATTTGAAGAGGGGGTTGGGATTGATGGATTCGATGATATTATGGATTGTGAGAAATGGTGAATGGTTAGTGTTTGAGGGTGCTGCAGTTGTTGCTGAAGTGTGATAAAATTGTCAAGTTCATGAGATATTTGCGTATTTACAGAGCTGTTGTTTCCAGAAGGTTCACTGGTTAAGGGGGAAAAAGTAGGTGTTTCATTTGAAATAGGAGAGGGAGTGGAAGGAGGTTCAAAAGTTAATTGGGAGCGGAGAGGTTGGAAAGTAGGTTGGGAGAATGTAGATTGACTGGGTTCGGAGTTGGCAAATTCGTCAGGGGTCTCGATATCTGAGTTATTAAATTGGGAGACGGTAATATATACAGTGGTGTTTGAATCAGTGTCTGATTCCATGCCGGATAAAAGTGTTATGTTTTTTGGTACAAGTGTAATGCTGTTTTTTGGTACAAGTGTAATACCATAGCATGTTTCTTTCGTAGTCAAAAAAATTTTGATTATTTAATTGAGCGATGGAGTGATCCAACTTGGCGGCTCATCGTGGGCTAAAAAGATGGTTGTTCTGAGAAAAAGAAATTAGTGGTATGTGGTTGTTCTATAATTTGCTCGTATGTGTCTTCGGTATTAGATTATTGGGTTATTATGTGTTGACTTGGGCTTTGTGTGTAAGTTGGTCTTTGAGATATGAGATCGGTCATTGCTATGTTTCTGAAATTTCGTAGTACTAACGATAAAGGACGGTTATGATGTAGGCTTTGTAATTGTGGTGCCGTAGGCGATGTACTTGTATTTTTTTGTGAATCGTCATATGTGTTCGGTGTTGTTGATAGTTTGGTATTGTATTCTTTTATTTAACCGTCCAAAGTATTTTTTGTATATTGATGTAGAGAAAATTCCAAAAAATCCTGCAAAAAGTATGCATGGTACGCTGGCTTGTTTGCTTACTTGTGTGTGTATTGCGCATGTATTGTAGAATCCTTTTAGTAGAGCGAAATGAAATCCAAGAAAGTTAGAGTTAAACATTGCGTATTTTATAGTCAATCTTTCTAAGATGTAGTAGAGCCATCCTAGAAAGGCAAGAAACTCGTTTTTCAAATTTACGAAGTTAAAAATATTTATTGATGATATAACTTGTGGTCTGTATTTTTCGCCATTTATTTAAATGTAATCTTTTATATCTTTAAAATATCCGCTGTAAACTTGTGCTTATATGTCTGAAAAGCTTGCTGTTTCTGCAAGTTTGCATAAATTTTGATTTAAGGATTGTTTTGTGTCCATTTTTGTGAGTAAATCTTGAAATTGTTCTGTACGTATGTGGTGTTGAATTTCGGATTTAGAGTAAATGTCGATCG